ATAGGCAGAGAGAGAGAGAAATGCTATGGGGAAAAAAAGTGAGTGCTATGGGAAAGTGTAACAGGGTGTCCCAACTGAGATTAGGGGTGAAATGAACAATGATTAGAGGCTAAATGAGCCAAAAGGCAGGGTATAGAGGCAGAGAGAAGAGATATATGAAGTCTAAGGCAAAACAGTTTGGACAAACTGATGAAGAGCTGAGAAGTGGCTCAAGTAAGAAAGAGGTGCTGCAGGAAGGAAGGCCGCAGCTGGCCCCATGCAGAGTCTTAACTGGGGTGGCTGCTGGGGCTGAACATTGGGATAGTTGCTGGGGACTCAGGAGGTAATAAGACATTCTAGAACCTGCCTCACCCTGCCTAGGGAGTCCTCCTCATTTCAACTGGGGAGGAAGACATGTAACTAGTTATGATGGAGTGTGATAAGTACAACAGATCCTGAGGGAGCATAGACTTCTGAGAGATCAACCAAATTTGTCTTGTGGGCAATGGTTGAGATAACACTGGTTTTAAAAGATAAGTGAGGAAAGAAGGCCATTTCAGGAACAAGCTGCACCATGAAATCAAGTTGTGAGGAGCGTGACATTTGCAGAACTGTAGGGAGTTCTGTGTGGTTCTAATATAGTTCAGTGTGGCTCTAGTATCTTTGTTTAGAAGAGCTGAAGGAAATAGTCCCTCATGAAAGGCAGAAGCTGAATCTAAGAGACCTCTATGCCCTGAGGAATTTTCACTGCATCCTGCAAGTGTTTCCTGTGATGGGGTGGGGGTGGGTTGGGGTGTGGATGAGGGGGTAATGGGTGACCGCACTGAAATGGAGTAACTGCATCACATTTTTGTTTTACAAAGACTAGTCTGGCAGTACCACAGATAGATTGAGAAATGGCCTGGAGGAAGGGGGACCGATTAAGAAGATATTGCAGTAACCCTGGGAGAACTGCTGGCAGCCTGATTTGGCAATGACAATGTAAAGGGGGAGAAGGGTCAGATGAAGAAGCTGTTTGAGGACAGAAGCTCTTGGATCTGACTGGTGTTGGGGGAGGAGTAGGGAAAAAGGACTCAGGCATGACACCAGGTTACTCACCCGGGTGACTGGCTGTGTTGATGCCATTCACTGAGGCAACTGTGCAGAAGTGGTGATGTGTGTGGAGAAGCAGTGCCACTCCTACTGGGCAGGCACCTGGAGAGAGGGCTGTAGAAGAAGTCCTCTAGGTCCCAAACTGGACTAGGCATAGGAAGAGGTAAGATCAGTCCAGGTCCAAGAGCTCATTGTTCCTTTTCCAATTTAATACATTTTTATTTTAGAATAGTTTTACAATAGCCAAGTGTTGGAAGCAACCTAGGTGCCCATCAGTAAATGAATGGATCAAAAAACTATGGTACATTTACACAACGGAATTCTATGCAGCACAAAGAAAGAAGGAGCTCCTACCCTTTGGGACAGCATGGATGGAGCTGGAAAGCATTATGATAAGCGAAATAAGCCAGGCAGTGAAAGACAAATACCATATGATCTCACCTTTATCAAGAACCTAAATAACAAAACAAAGAAACAAGCAAAATATAACCAAAGACACTGAAATAGAGAACAGGCTGACAGTGACCAGAGGGAGAAGGGAGGGAATTTCAGGGGAAAAGGGGAAGGGTTTGAAGGAACAAGTATAAAGGAGACATGGACAAAAACTAGGGGTGGGTAGAAATGGGAGGGAGGTGGGGAGGGTTGGGTGGGTGGGCTGGGATGGGAGTAAAAGATAGAAAATTGTACTTCAACAACAATTAAAATTTTTAAAAAAATGAAAAAAAATGCTGAGAAAATGTCTCTCACACCCACTAATTTGCCCACTTTCAGGTGTTCTAAGTGGGTAAGTTTGTCGTCAAACCTGATATAACTATGAATAAATCTAAATCTCCAAAAACAAACAAAAAAAGGATAGTTTTATATTTACAGGAAAATTGTAAAGTGTGTAGAGTTCTTGTAGACTTAGCATTTCTTTAGGTCCTGCTACCTCTTCCCTGAGTTTGTCCCATAGTGGAATGGGTATCCTCTTTTGTGTAAATATTCCTGTTACACGTGCAGAAGAGGTTTATGTGGTTCAAAACTCAAAGCAATGTAAAAAGGCACACAGTAAAGATACTTGCTCCTGTCCCTACCCCCATCTGTACTGTTCACTCCCACTCCCTACAGACTACTGTTTTTATTAGTCTCTTGTGTACTGATCCTTCCATTTTTTTAAATGTAAATGCAAGCAAAGAGTAAGAATACAATCATGTGCTCTTTAGCTACCAGGATACATTCTGAGAATGCATCATTACATGATTCCATCATTAGGCAATTTCATAATTATGTGAACATCAGAGTGTACTTACACAAACTAGAGCCTACTACTATAATTGTATGTGCTGTAATTTTATATGACTGGCAACCTGATAGGTTTGTTTACCCCAGGACCACTGCAAACAGGTGAGTAGAAGGTTGCACTAGGGTGTCACCATGGCTATGATGTCACTAAGTGACAGGAATTTTTCAGCTTTTTATAATTGTGTGGAACCACTATTGTCCATTATTGACCAAAATGTTGTTGGACATGTATATATTGTGTCTTCCCTCCCTTATTTATATAAAACAAAGTGTACTATGGACATTGTGCTGTTGCTTGCTTTTTTGCTAAACAATATCCTTTACCCTGACTGGTATGGCTGAGTTGGTTGGGCATCGTCCCACAAAGTCACCAGTTCGACTCTGGATCAAGGTACATACATGACTGGGTTGCAAGCTTGGTCTCTGGTTGGAGCACATACAGAAGGCAACCAATTAATCTTTTTCTCTCACGTTGATGTTACTCTCCCTCCCTCCCTTCCTCTCTCTCTAAAAAAAAAAAATACATACTGAATTTCAAAGACTTAGTTTATATTCTCTTTTCTACTATTTTAATAATAACATTTTAATTGTTTACATATTGAAATAATGTTTGCTATATTTTTTAAAGATTTTATTTATTTACTTTTAGACATAGGTGAAGGAAGAGAGAAAGAGGAGGAGAGAAAAATCAATGTGTGGTTGCCTCTCGCATGTCTCCTACTGGGGACCTGGCCTACCAGGGACCAATGCCCTTACTGGGAATTGAACCCATGACTCTTTGGTTCACAGGTCTGTGCTCAGTCCACTGAGCCATATCAGCTAGGTCATAATGTTTGCTATATTAAGTTAAATAAAATAAAATGTTATCAATTTATTGTTTTTAAAATGTAGCTACTAGAAAATTTAAAATTAAATATGTGACTCCAATTATACTTCTACTGGACAGCAGTGATATAGTGCACCCATTATTTTTTAGTTTTATACTGTTCCATTGTGTACAGTACCAAACTTTTGTTTAACTAGCCTACTTGTTGATGCATACTTGTTGTTTTCAGTCTTCTGCCATTAAAAATGCGGAAATGCTTAAACTTGTCCATGCATCTCTACATACACATACAAGTTGATCTGTGAAATGAATTCTAGTACTGGGGTTGCTGTATTAAAGAGAAGCTGCATTTGTACTTTTGATATTGTCCAGTTGCCCTCCACAAGAGACGCACAAATCCTCACTCCCACCAGCAATGCATCTGAGTGCCAGCTTTCCCATGTACTGCTATTTTAAACTACAGCTTAGTGTTTTTGGATATAATAATGAACAACTCTCTTTGTTAATTCCAAGAGAGTCTGAAAAAGAAATTACAAATGGTTTGCCTAACTTCATTTTATTTTTTTTTAAAGATTGTATTTATTTATTTTTAGAGATAAGGGAAGGGAGAGAGAAAAAGAGGGAGAGAAACATGAATGTGTGGTTGCCTTTCATGCACCCTCTACTGAGGACCTGGCCTGCAACCAGGCATGTACCCTGACTGGGAATCGAACCGGCAACCCTTTGGTTCAAAGGCCAGTGCTCAGCCCACTGAGCTACACCAGCCCTAACTTCATTGTCTATTTAAAAAAAGAAGAAAAGAAAATCAACTATTGATGCTAAAACTCTTAGAATCAACATTTTAGAATTGACTCTCGTTTAAATGAAAACGTCAAGGAATTAACCTATACTGTTTTCCTGGGCTGTGAATTTCTATGAAAGTTTTATCATATTCAGATTTAGAAATGGAGATTTTTTTTCAGGGTTCCAAAGGATAAGGGACAACATTTTCTTTTATTTTTCAAGACTTCGAGATTTCTTGAGGTCCTACAGCTGCCTTCCCTGTGTGGGCAGCTGACATTACAAGGCAGAAAAGCTGCAGCATGCAGGTTTTACATGTTGTCAGTTTATCAGTTCCCTGGACTCATTTTACTAGAAACACATTCTAATTTAATGGGCTGCTTAACTGAGGAAATCCACTGACAACAAAATTGAAGCTCAGGAGCTGCTATAATTATTAGACAGTCAATCCTATTTACTTTATGAATAAGTTGTAGAAAAAGTTCATCTTTCCACCTTTAGGATTCAACTGTTTGTCCCTCTTTTGAGACTTGTGTGTGCTCTCTACTGCCTTCTTTGCCTTTTTCGTTTTTTCAAATTGAACTAAATATCATCTAAAGAACAAATTGCTTCAATTTTTCCATTTATAGTAATCTGAAAATAAGAGTCTCATGAAGAGAAATCTCACTATGTAGTTAGGGATGTGCAGTTAATAAACTAGTATAACAAATCCTTGGCTTTCAGGAATATAAACTCATATTTTGGCAAATCCTAGGCATAGAAGAATATAGCAAATATGACTATGGACATTTACTGTCTTTAATAGTTCATTGTTTTTCAATATGAAAAGATTAGGAAAAGGAACAAAAGGTGGGACTCTTCATGTTGCTGGTGCAGGAAGAGCCCTGGGACACAGGACTCCTGAGAAGGCCACCCTGGCATTGGCAGCATTGAGTTGTCGCTGTGCGTACAGTATAGGTAACCCCCACTTGCCACACTACAGCTATTCTTCATGTCCCTTTTTTTCCTTTATTGCTAATTATGCTTAATTATTTTGTTTCAGGAAGGATTTTCACTCATTGGTAGCAAGAACTGGTTGAAGATTGTAAGACGCATGGATTGTCTGTTGTTTGGAACAACAATAAAGGCAAGATGCTGTGTGGCCAACTGTCTTTAAGCAAAGACCATACCCTTCTCTTCTGTGTGCACATGGGGGGTGTGGGAACTTCTTTTTGCAGGTGAGATGGTACTGGAATAGTACATGTTTAAGGAAGGTTTGCATTATGAACAGAACATGAAACAAGGACTGTAGAAAGGCAGCAGCCTAGTTAGTAAGAGGGTGTTTCTGAGGAGCCAGAGATTTGACGATCTCTCTGAGGGGTGGGGCAGCTGTTCCCCATCTCCCAAAGACAGATGGAGGGGAGGTGGACTACTTCATTATTTACCTTGCTAGATGTTAAAAAGTTGTATATTTTTTAGTGCTTCACTGAATGTATGTTTTCATTTTTTTCTCTTTAATATTAAAAATTAAATTCCCTTTTCTTTGCTTTCTACCTGTATTAAATGTAAAGAATGATCCTCACCAAAGGAACATGTGGACTAATCAACTAGATTGTTTTCTTTGAGAAATAACATAAAAACTCAATCTGTTAACATTCACTGAATAATTTTGAAATTTAGGTGAAAGATCCTAATTTCTAATGGGCTTATAAACTAAAAGTTAGAAGAGGTCTTAAAGAGCATCTAATAGAGGGGCTTAACCTGGGGTCCACAGACCTGCCAAAGGGTCCTCAGAGAATTCAGGAGTCTAGGAACTGCATGGACTTTCACTGACGTCTAATTGAAATTTATCTTTTCCTTCAGTCAGGAATGTAGGCATCAGCCCACAGTCATATTAGACCTTTGCACCATTAGAAATCACAGACATTTTCATATCATTACAGTTATTTAAGACATCTGAGCTGTCACTTATGTTCACCACTACCTCAGAATTATGGTGGTTACTAGTTCTACTGCTAGATCTTTCTATGGAATATGTTAATAAGGAAACATGTATATTATTAGTTCACAAATTGGTATTTTAATATTGTAATAAACCATTTCAGTATAATTGGCTTCCTTGATAATCTTAATGTATTTTGTGTGATTAAAAAACATTGTTCTAGGAAGGGGTCCACTGACTTCACCAGATTTCCAAAGTGGTCTGAAGCACATACTCAAAAAAATTCATGAATCTCTGTTTTGCTCTTTACACATGAGGAAACTGAGTTTGGCGTGAGCCAATAACCAAGGTTATAACTAACTACTAGGGACCTGGGAAGCCCGTTCGTCTCCTGACTCCTAGCCTGGGACTGGGTCATGCAGATTGAATGTACATGTCTTTTAAAAGTTACACTATGCCATGTCTGATATTTGGGTTTTAATTTTTTCCTGATTATATAGTTATTTAAAATTTTAAATAACTATAAAGAGCAAAACAAAAACCAACCTAATTTTTCCACTCAAAAAATCATTATATTACAGACAACAGAATGCTAGTTATCAGAAGGGAAGGGGGGAAGGGGTTGCTAGGAGAGGACGAAGAGGTTAAATGAGATCAAATATATAGAGACAGAAGGAGCTGGAGTGTGCGGGGGTGAGCACATAAAAAGTATACCAATGGCATATAAAAATGCACATCTGAAACTAATGTTATTATAAACCAATATCACACAAAAATTTAATTAAAAATTTATCATTATTAACATTTTGACATTTTTACTAGGCATATATATTACATCAGCATTCAGATGCATGTGACAGAAATTCCAGGCATAATGGCCCCCCACAATAGGGGTTAATTTTTTTCACTAAATAAGAAATCCAGAAGTACTTCCAGCAAAGATGGAGGTGTAGGTAGACACACTGTGCTTTCTTGCACAACCAAAATAAGGACAACAAAAATTTAGAAACAAAATAACAACCAGTACTGACAGAAAATTGACCTATATGGAAGTCTGGCAACCAGGGAGTTAAAGTAGATACATTCATCCAGACTGGTAGGAGGGGCGGAGTTGGGCCGCTGCTGGGAGAGGGATCACAGCAAAACAAAAAGTGGTGGGTGGCTGGTGGACCCTGAACGTGCAATGCAGCAGTGGGCAGACCCAGTGAGGTGACAGTTGTGAAGCAGGGCATGACACACAAGGTAGCTGGCAGACCAGGCAGTCCCACATTTGTGCACAGATAAACCAGGCGAAACTGGGGAGGGAGACAGACATCGCAACCCAGGGCTCCAGCGCAGGGAAATAAAGCCTCAAAACACTGATTGAAAATACCTGTGGGGGTTGAGGTGCCGGGAGAGACTCCCAGCCCCACAGGCGAGTTCATTGGAGAGACCCACAGGGTCCTAGAACATGCACAAGCCCATGCACATAGGAATCAGCAACAGAAGGCCCCAATTTGCTTGGGAGAAGTGGTGGAAGTGACTGAAATCCGGCAGACAGCAGAGCAAGCACCATTGTTCCCTCTTAGACCCCTGCCCCACATACAGGGTCACAACCCAGCAACATGGGTTACCCCACCCAGGTCAACACCTAAGGCTCCTCCCCTCACGTAAGAGGTGTGACAAGACAAAAAAAAAAATGTCCCAAACAAAAGAACAGATCAAAGTTCCAGAACAAATACAACTAAGCAATGAAGAGCTAGACAACCTATCAGATGCACAGTTCAAAGCACTGGTGATCAGGATGCTCACAGAATTGGTTGAATTGGTCACAAATTAGGTGAATAAATGAAGGCTACATTAAGTTAAATAAAGGAAAATGTACAAGGAACCAATAGTGATGGCAAGGAAACTGGGACTCAAATCAATGGAGTGGACCAGAAGGAAGAAAGAAACATCCAATCAGAAAAGACTGAAGAAACAAGAATTCAAAAAAATGAGGAGAAGCTTAGGAACCTCCAGGACATCTTTAAACATTCCAGCATCTGAATTATAGGGGTACCAGAAGGAGAAGAGGAAGAGCAACAAGTGGAAAAGATAATTGAGCAAATAATAAAGGAGAACTTCCCCAATCTGGCAAAGGAAATAGACTTCCAGGAAGTCCAGGAAGCTCAGAGAGTCCCAAAGAACTTGGACCCAAGGAGGAACACACCAAGGCACATCATCATTACATTACCCATGATTAAAATGAAGGAGATAATCCTAGAAGCAGCAAGAAATAAGGGGACAGTCACCTACAAAGGAGTTCCCATCAGACTGTCAGCTGATTTCTCAAAAGAAACCTTGCAGGCAAGGAGCTGGAAAGAAGTATTCAAAGTCATGAAAGGCAAGGATCTACATCCAAGATTGCTCTATACAGCAAAACTATCATTTGGAATGGAAGGGCAGATAAAGTGCTTCTCAGACAAGGTCAAGTTAAAGGAGTTCATCATCACCAAGCCCTTTTATATGAAATGTTACAGGGATTTATCTAAGAAAAAGAAGATAAAAAACATGTACAGTAAATTGACAGCAAACTCACAATTACTATCAACCACACCTCAAACAAAAACAAAAACTAAGCAAACAACTAGAACAGGAACAGAACCACAGCAGTGGAGATCACATGGAGGGTTGTCAACACGGAAGTGGGAGGAGGGGAGAGAGGGAAAAGGTAGAATAAGTAGCATAGATGGTAGGGAGAAAATAAGACGGGGGAGGGTAAGGATTGTATGGGAAAAGTAGAAGCCAAAGAACTTACAAGTATGACACATGGTCATGAACTAAAGGGGGGCAATGTAGGTGGGAGAGAGTGTGCAGGGTGGAGGGGAGTGAAGGGGGGAAATGGGACAACTGTGATAGCATAATCAATAAAATACATTAAAAAAGGAAAGAAAGAAATCCAGAAACAGACAGTGCCGGCATTGGCCCAGCACTTTGCAGTGGCAGCATCAACATCTTTGCCTTTGGCTTGTCCCTCACATTTGCACAGTGGTTACTGCAGCTAGCTTATTTTCATTCAAGAAAGACCATCTTCATCTGTTCATTTTATATACAAGGAAAGCACAAACTTTATTATATAGCTCTCTGCCTTCCACATCTCTTAGAAGATGTGTACTTCTGTCTCATGAACCAGAAAGAACGATGTAATGTGGCTATCCTAACATGCCAAGGATAACAAAATGAGCATTTGGCTTTTCCAGCCTCTGCTGTGGATTGGCTCATGGCAATGAACAGTGTCTGCAATGTAGATGATTTATAAATTTGCTATTATAGCATATAGAGTGCTTTGTATCCCCTTGTCATGTAATATTACATCAGAAATATTATACCAAGTCATTTCTTAGTTTTTGAAGGTTTGATTCTTCATGGCTACATAGCACTTTATTGGTTTGGATTCAATGAACTAATTCCCAAGTTTTGTTTCCCACTGTTCTGATTTTCATAAGAATTTATTTATAGGGTTCTTGAGATAGAAGTCCTAGAAATTTAAACATTTAGTAAATTTTTCCTCCAGATAAATTGTCTGTTTCTACAACACTAGCAATGTGTAAGAATGCCCATTTATCCAAATCATTTCCAATAGGGTGATAAAATTTAAATTTAAAAACTAGCTTCAAGCGTCACAACCCAGCAATGTGGGTTGCCCCACCCTGGTGAACACCTAAGGCTCCGCCCCTTACTACTTAACAGGTGAACAGAGACCAAAAAGCCCAAATGAAAGAACAGTTCAAAGCTCCGGAAAAAATACAACTAAGCGACAAAGAGATAGCCAACCTATCAGATGATTAGTTCAAAACACTGGTTCTCAGGATGCTCCAGGAACTCACTGGGTACTTCAACAGCATAAAAAAGACCCAGGCAGCAATGAAGATTTTATTATGTGAAATAAGGAAAAATCTACAGGGAACCAACAGTGACGGGAAGGAAACTGGGACTCAAATCAATGGTTTGGAGCAAAAGGGAGAAATAAACATTCAACCAGAACAGAATGAAGAAACAAGAATTCAAAAAAATGAGGAGAGGCTTAGGAATCTCCAGGACATCTCTAAACATTCCAGCATCCAAATCATAAGGGTGCCAGAAGGAGAAGAGGAAGAATAGGAAATTGAAAACTTATTTGAAAACATAATGAAGGAGAATTTCCCCAATCTGGCAAAGGAAATAGATTTCCAGGAAGTCCAGGAAGCTCAGAGAGTCCCAAAGAAGTTGGACCCAAGGAGGAACACACCAAGGCATATCATAATTACATTACCCAAGATTAAAATTAAGGAGAGAATCTTTTTTTTTTTTTACCACCCAAATAGTCTTTTTTTTTGGTCACTGGAGAGAATCTTAAAAGCAGCAAGAGAAAAGAAGACAGTTACCTGCAAAGGAGTTCCCATTGGACTATCAAGCTGATTTCCCGAAAGAAATCTTGCAGTCAAGAATAGGCTGGAAAGAAGTGTTCCAAGTCATGAAAGGCAAGGACCTACATCCAAGATTCCTCTATCCAGCAAAGCTTTCATTTAGAACGGAAGGGCAGATAAAGTGTTTCCCAGATAAAGTCAAGTTAAAGAAGTTCATCATCACCAAGCCCTTACTATATGAAATGTTAAAGGAACTTATCTAAGAAGATCAAAACTATGAGCAGTAAAATGACAACAAATTCACAACTATCAACAACTGAACCTGAGAAAACAAAAACATACTAAGCAAACAACTAAAACAGGAACAGATTCAGAGAAATAGAGATCACGTGGAGGGTTGTCCGCAGGGTAGGGGAGGGGGTGGAATGAGGCAAAAGGTACAAAGAATAAGAAGCATAAATAGGTACAAATTAGGGTGAAGTTAAGAGTAGTATAGGGAGTGGAGAAGCCAAAGAACTTACATGTTTGACCCATGGATATGAACTAAGGTGAGGGAAGGATAGTGGGAGGGGAGGTACGGGCAGAGGCGAATAAAGGGGGAAAAAATGGGACAACTGTAATAGCATAATCAAAAAAATACATTAAAATTAAAAATAATAAATTTAGCTTCCATAGTAAACTTTTATTAACTGATCATTTAGGTTAGTTTATTAATTTCCAGGAAAGTAATTTATAATCTGCAAACAATGATAATTTTATTTACTTCTAGTAGTTCATACTTACTACTTTCTCCACCTTTCCAGAACACTGTAGTTATGTGGTTACAGTGCCACGCTTGACATATCACTGACCTGAATGGGCAGACATATTTAGACCTTAAGAACATTTCTGACTGTTGATTGGATATTCTTGACCATGTAAGGGAGATATTCTTTCAATTATAGTTTATTTACTAACACTTTTTATCAGGATTACATATTAAATTTTATCAAAAGCTTTTTGACACCTATCAAGATTATGTTTTTCTTCTCTGATTTATTGACTTTATATATTAATATTGATCCAACAGATTCTTTTTGCCTTACCTGGCAGAGCATATCTTTGGTGTCTCTTGCCTTGGATAGCTTTAGTTAACCAGGTATTATGTAATAAGCTCCATTGTTTAGACTGACAAATGGAAAAGTATTTTGAAGTAAAATTTTCATTGCTTTAACAGCAGTTTAATGTAACTTAAATTCTATGGTAATAAAGATTATATTTCCATTCTCTCTGGCTGAAATAAGTAGGTTACATAAATTTCTGCCTATTTGTAGTTTCTTCTGTCCAGGAATTTTGATTACAGTGGTCCTGCAGATTGGCTAACAGTTGACACATAATTCCCTTTCTGAAGAGACTTTGCTTCAAAGGAGTAAATCCAAAACATTGCCCTCTTCACGTCTCACCACCAGTAACTCATTGAAGAATTTTTTAATGATTTCGTCTGGCCCAGGTTTTGGTTTCCAAGCAAAGGTTCAAAAGAAAAAATTGCTGAGGTCCCTTCTCTGGCTAAGTCCTCTCTCTCTATCCCCTCTCCACAGTGGAGGAATTCACTGCTGAGATGGGGAAGCTGCTCCAGTTGGGGTCCTAGGGTGCTGGGAAAGCTCCTACAGATCTGAGTGATTTATCAAAACCAGCAGCAAAAGTGGTAGGTTTGTGAGGCCCCCGACGTCTCCTTGGCTCTCCTCCTGTGAGGTGCTAACTGAGCTCCATGTCTTCCACGTGTGCTGGGACCACAGCCCCTGCAGCCCTAGCACCTGCGGCTTTACGGTGTCTATGTGGGGACTTTGTCCACAGCTGGGAGTCAGAATTTAGGGGAACTTGACTTTCCTGTGAGCGCTCGAAGAGATGGTCAAGAGACAAGCACTTACCCTTGTTTCTTCAAGGATTCTGTATGAAAGAAGATTTTCTGTTAGTTGTAATAACTTGAAATACAGTGTTTTGAAGTAGGATGGGAACAATTTAATATGTAAGGTGCCACTTCACGTAATTTTGAGCTAATCTCTTTAGATGATAGAAACTAAAACTATAGTTTCAAAGTTCATGGGCAGTAGTTCATGGCTGTTAGTATATACTTGAAAATTTTCCATTTCACAGCAAGTGAATTAAAAGTCTTTTTGACTTAACTATGGCACAAAAATGAATCTCATCAGGATTTTTAACCTAGGAATCCTTTTTGTTAACCCAGTGGCAGGCTTTCCATGGTGCTACCGCATAGTATTAAAGATGTAGGATGGAGATGTAACTCACTTTCAGACTTCTCCTGATGCACCTTGGTTTGTCTTGGGTTGTCAGGCACTGAAGTGGTACTTATGGCACTTAAGTACCTTAAGTGGTACAGATGATGAGCTCAAATTCTACCTGAGAATTTCACAGAAGGAAATGCGGAGCGAAGCTTCAGTCAACTATCAGATATACCGTCTCCCCTGTCACTTCCTGGAACTGCATTCTGGAGAAACCCTCACTACCCACACTCATTTTCTGTACTTTCGCATGCAGACACCGCTAGACTTACACAGCCGGTCTGCGGTGTTTGTCTGTTTCTTACATAGTTTTTCATCTAGCTATGAGGTATAATTTTTAATGTTACTGCTTCCCCAAAGGTTATGCAATGAATCATAATAGAAGTAGCTAATAAAAAAGTTACTTCATATAGATGTCTTTATATAGAGTCTAAATCAGAGTGAGTTGGAAACAACTAATTAATTGTAAACAAGAATTCAGCTCAATTTCACAAAAGATTTGTAGTATTACCGAAAGCTGAATGCATAGTTCTCTTATCAGTCCTTTTCTCCCCCTAGCCAAGGAAGTGAGCAAGCACTGACAAAAGAAAAAACAGAAATGACCCTAAGTGGGAGACTGTTCAAACTCACTCATAATCAAAGAAATGAAGTTCTAAGATAAAAATCTATGCTAACCTAATAGGTTGAAAATATTAAAAAGAATAATAATCTCTGGTGTTGGCAGGTGCAGGGAATGGGCACACGGACTCCTGGGGGCACCTGGTGCTGTCCCGCCCCAGGCAGTTTGGGACGAGCACTAAAACCCACAGATCCTTCCACCAGGTGCTTACGTGCTTATCAAAGCTCGTGGTTGATAATAGGAAAAAAGGCTGGAAATAAATGTTTGTCAGTTGGAGACAGTTAAAGGAATACTCTTTAGCCATTAAAAGTCATGAAGTATATTTCTATTTTTATACTTATTGTGAAACAAAGAATTAGGTTACAAAAGAGTAGTGTAAAATAGAGATAACCTATATAGTATATATTACTATAATCTATATAGTCATGTACAAGTATGTGTATGTGTTCTAATATATTACACCCTAACATAATGTAGGGTAAATGCTCCCTTACCCCACACCTCTTCCCCTCCAAGCAAAGTGAAGAACTCATGAGACCCTGCAGTACATAGAAGTAAAGTGGTAAGACAAGAGGAGTAACTTTTGATTTGTCAAACAGGACAAGAGTCGCATGTTCAGGGTGCAGTTTGGCGGCGAGTCCAAGCAGCAGGCACTAGAGCGCTGTGACAGCTGTGTGCGGAGCCTGGCCCAGTACGTGACCATTCAGACTCCTGAGGGAAGCAGCCAGGGACCTCGACTGTGCCAGGGCCCACTGCCGGCAGCGGACAGCCGCGCGGAGGGCTGTGTGCGGAGCGTCCCGCTGCTGCTGCCGCCGCCGCCTGGGGTAAGTAGGGCCAGCACGTTGGCCGTGCCAGAAACCGGACAGGGTCATGCTCTCTGGGGGGCCAGAGTGACAGTGGGATTTGTCAAGCTCATCAGCTTTGCAGATTAAAGGATATCTAATGTTGAGTGACTTACTTAAATTGAAGGTTGATTTTCATTGTAGCTACCTGTAATCCTACCAGTTAGACTGGGTGGCACTCTGCGGTGATCCAAGTGTGGTCTGTGGTCCCCTCCCTGTGACCTTTTCAGAGATCCACAAAGTCCACATTATTTTTGTAATAATATTAAGACAGTATTTACCTTTTTCATTTTGTCATTATTTGTATTAATGGGATAAAAGCATTGTGAACACAAATGCAGGCAGTGGACCAAACTGCACCCCATTCTCCTCCCACCACTGACAGTGAGAACAGACACAGAAGGGCCGGCGTTCTGCAGCACAACCGTTTCAGGGGACGGCGCTTGTGCGGCTGTGCTGGGCGTCAACCAGCCTTTCCTTGCAGAACACTGTCGTTACTTCAAAGAACACAGTGTGGTGATTCAGATTTGGGTATTTGGTGGGCATTTATTTTCTTAGAAATGAACAGAGTGAGCCTATCATTTCAGGAAAACAACTGATAGTATTTATCAACAGATTAAAATAAGCTTCTCAAGTGGCAATTAAAGTCATGGATAACTTGTATTAACCATTTGAGCTTCACAGCTCCTGCCCAGAACTTTTCTGATGCTGCTGTTCATAGGATCTTTTAAAATTAGTGCATGCCAAAATGTTTCAACATTTGGAAGATTTGTATAGTTCAGTGACCTAGTATCTTCCAAATGGCCAAATGCATATGGTGCTAAAAAATCATGCGTGGGTAAAAGATCTGTTCCAAGTGCAGAACAGACCTACGGATTTCAGTGTAACAGAGTTCATTGCTGTGATTTCAAATTCTATGTTGCAACTAACCTTTAAGAAACTTTCATTTGCTGAGTGTTGGTGTCACATTAAAGAATGTCCACAATTATCCGAAAAGGCTACTTTAAAATATGCCTGCCTTTTCTATCTGCTTTAGCTGTGTGAAACCAGAGTTTCTTCATGTACTTCAACAATTCAGCCAAAGAAACGTGTCAGCGGAGTGATGCAGAAGTAGACAGGTCCAGCTATTTTCCATTAAGCTAGGCATTAAAGAGGTTTGCAAAAATCATTACATTTTTGTTTGAAGAAATAGTTCTTTCATTAAAATGTTTTAAATATTAACAGTGGGTTCATTATTTTTAAATGAATTAATCAGTATTTAAAAGATTTAATTAATATAAACATTAAATAGATGTAACTCAAACAGAAGCTGTGTGAGGGCCACCGATTTTAAGTGTGTAAAGGGTCTTGATATCAAAACCTCGAGCATCGTTGTTTCAGAATTTCTCCTGGGAGGACACTTAGTTCCAAAGGCTGTTCGAGTGAGAGGTGCCTCTGCTCTTGGATCAAAATTCCAGTTTCAAGCTGGGTTTCTTATTTTCTATTTTGAGACATGATTTTCCAAACATGGCTTTCTATAACTTTGCTTCATTAGTTCCCTTTAAACTCACTGGACCAAGACAATTCTATTCTGGTTTATCAACAAGTTCTTGTCATTCATAATTTACCTAAGGCAAACATAAATTTGCATTATTTATTGTACAGCCTTTAAGCATGTTGCTATGTGATTTTCTCTGGAATGTGCAGTTTGTTGTCAGATTGTGGTGTTTCAGCATTCTTTTATTTGTTTCTGCACAATCTTTTCTGTGATGTTGTCAATGCTGAAGCTGCTTTTCTTGCAACCCTGGATCTAGTTTCAAACATTGTGCCTACAAATGGAATGGAGTGGTTTATTATAAAGTACTTTATTTCTTGTGATTCTTTCCCCTTTCAAGAGTTTCTTTTATGTTTCATTGACCAGTTATTAGATTCAGATTCTAGAAACCCAGTGCACAGGTACAACTGGAACCAAATAAAGGTCTCAGGATTGAGAGGTGGGCCTGGGATGCATCATAAAGGTAACGAGACAAAGTAGACTACGGTTACGGTTTATCTTTACAGATACATAACTGCAGGTGAGGCTGTGGGCCCCAGCAGCAGGGGAAGGCTCCAGAACTAGAACTTTAAAGGCTGGTCCAGATATCTAGGTAGAACCAAAAGTAGCTGGGACCGTTTCATGTCTTGTCTCAATTCTCTGTTCAGGGTCCTCGGAGCTCTAGTTGGGTGTTCTGAGTAGATGACAGAGCATGATGTGTGTACAGTATAGGCTTTGGAATCAGAATGGATCTGGGTCTGAATCATGGCCCGGCGAGCAGCTGAATGGTCTGATCTCATGTAAGTCAGAGACCTTCGTCTGTAAAATGGGGAGATTTGAAATACTGTATCTATAGAAAGCACCTAGTGTAGCCCTGGCCAGTATCTAAATAACATTATCTATGATTACTATTGTTGCCAGTACTGTTCCCCTTCAGACCTGCTTTCCCCTGCAAATGAACACATTAGCCTCCGGGTCAGTTAGAGAGGCTGAAGTGTCAGCTGCAGGGAAGACAGGGTACAAAGCATGTTACTTCATTGGAGTGCAGACCTTGTGAGGCACTGCCTAACAGATGTGCATCATGCTAGTGACTGCTCCATCCCAGATGTGCCCAGACCGCTGTGCAGCTTGGCATGATGCTCCCTTTCTCCGAACCCCTCGCAAGGTAAAAGCCATGGCCAAGTGCTGCCATCCTGTATTCAGGTACATCATTTTCCCAATACCTATATATTTTTCTAAATTTTTTTTTGCAAAGAGATAATTCCTCATCTATTTCAAGTTCTTGAATCATTTCCTGGCTCCTACTTTGGTTTTGCTTTTCATTGGCCTTGTAATTTTAAGCTAATTGTGGCTTAATCAAGTGTTTCTCAACCTGAGGGCTTCTAAGGCCAGACCACCCGAGGGAAGCAGGAAAGAGGATGGCAGCTCCTAGGTGAACTCCTTTCTGTGTTAGCAGCCAGGGGCACCAGCTACTGTGTGCACTGAACCTTCCACTCCTGCACTTGGGTGGACCATCGGATCCTGGAGCCACCCCACTAGCCTAGGGGACTTCACTCACATTCGGCTATTTCAGTGTTTGTGGCGTACAGCTTTCAGTTGTTGTCTCTCCCAGTTGTTTAAAGAACAGGATGTGAGCTGAACTGATTTGTACCCTACGACAACATCAAATATCAGAGCTGGAAGAAACACCAGGCACTAGTCTTTTATTTTCACAGAGGAAACTGAAGAAATGGGACTAGCCTAAGAATGCATAATTCATTAGTGTCCCTTCTCTTTTTGCTCATTTTTAGTGATCTTGACTAGTTTTCTCTTTGTTCCTTCCTTCCTCTGTCCCCCAACCCTGTTTTTACTGCTTCTAGATCTATTTTTCTGCTAACACCTACTATCAAGTCAGCTTCTATAGCGGACAGGACACAAAATTTGGCACCTTTGACTCTTGGCAACCAGAACATGCTGGTGATAGGCAGAGGTGCCCTCCTGAGAGGCCCCTGGTTTATCCCTGTGACACAACTCAGGTGGGCGCACTTGTCAAGGTGAGCACTGCAACAGACACAGGACCCAGAGCCAAACCTGCAGTGCATACCTGTGGCCAGGAAGTGGGAGTGGTGGGGTTCTCCTCAACTCTTGTGCTGTTATGTGGGAGCAGCTGTCACAGCCTTCTGCCTCCAGCCTCCTCCTCCTGCCTGAAACACCCGCCTGTGCGCTACCCAGACCAAGCCCTCACTTCCCAGTCCTAACTGAAACAGCACACACTGGAGCACTCCTGCCCTTCGGGCTCGGTTCACCCGGCCTCCGCTCCACGTCCTGGGTTGCATTCTAATCACTGCTTCATTTAGGTTCTCACTGGGCTGTGGGTTCTTGAGGGACAGACCTCTCTACCTTGTTCTCTGTGGCTCACTTCCCTTTATCAACACAGTGTCCAAGAACCCTTTCCCTCAGAATGTCTAAAACAAGATTTAAAACTTGGTTTTATTAAACATATGGTTATCTTGCAATCATGGTGTGTCCACCCTGCCCTCCTGCTTTGCTTTTCTGAAAGAACACGTCACTTAATAATTTTTAGGTGGCAAATCACAATAATCAGAAGCTGGGCAATACCTACTGCCCTCCAGTACCAGACTGTGGGCCCGGGACCTGACTGGGCTTCTGAAGACAGAACACAGCAGTGCTGGACGCTGGGGAAGCCCAGGCACCAGGCAGGGGCCTCAGATTTAAACTGTGCATACTTCTGCTGTGTTACAGCAAGCAACAGCCCAGCTGAAAACAGGACAGACGACACCGACAGTGTTTTTTCCTGATACTTTTTCTTTGAATACAAATGCATGTGTTTCCACTTCTTTAATGGCCTGTAGTACTTATACTCTGTTCAGCTAAACTGCCAGTTGTCTTGTTACAGTCACACCAGGAGCCGGGGCAGCAGCGGTACATGCCAGCCGTCACGGGCACTGCTGGAGGAAGGACCTCGGTGACCCAGTTAGCTCAGGTAGAGCCTCTTTCCATGTTGTTTTCTTGTCACGAAAAACTGATCCTGAGAATCTGTATACCTTTGTTCACTCCCTTGTTCTAGAATAACAACTTGAAGTGTTACTGTAGAAGACGGTAGAGACGGAGCCAGGCTTTCCGCCTACCCTGTCATGAGATTGGCACGGTGGCGCACACTGAAGAGCAGTTCTCCTAAGGAAAGAGAGGAGTGTTAGCCTTCAGGTGTGTTATGAAGAATTTACCACGTTCCCAAAAAGAGGAATCAAGGGAAGAATTTCAATTTAATTGACATTTGGGAACTGTATTGAGACAAATATCAATATGAATTTGGAGTCAGATCACTGATGGTTTCTCTATGGGCAAATTTTCATTGCTAAGATCTCAGCAGGCTCCGTGGACCCCAGGAGGACTCAACCTCCCCCACACTCCCCCGGCCCTTGTGGTTTGCTGTTCCTTGAGTCCCATGGCCTGGCATCTGCTCGCTGCGTTCCCAGCTGCACTCCACAGCAGGCTCTCAGGCCTGCGGCTTATGCCTTCCACAGAATTCTCCATGGAATTCATCAATATTGAAGAATATTTTTTTTAGTGTATCAAAGTGTTCTAAAATTTGTATAAAAAATAAAATATAGTTGTTTTTTCCACCTGGCTTACCACTGATTCAAATAACTGGACAATCACAGAATGAAAAACTTGAGTGGTTTCTTTGAATAACTCGGCAATTATGACAGACAGGAAAACATAAAAGCCATCGTCCAGCAGCAGGCAGACCTCAGTGCATGGTTTGTAGCCTCATATTTGCACTGGGGTTAGAGGTTAACTGAATAAAAGTGGCTGAGGACTGTAGAGGCACAAAGATACAAGGGACAAGTCAGGGTGTGATGTCCTTATTTAGGAGATGTCAGCTGCTATGAGAGGTGTAACCTTGGCCCAGTTTATTCACATTGTACGGAAGAGCCATGCACAAACCAGAAAAAGTGCCAGACTGGGAGTTCAGGTGTGCTACTCATCTGCCCTGGCCTTCTGGAGAAGTCTCCTATGAATGTAAGTTAGTAAAACTTTCTGGAAAGCAATTTAGCAATACAGACCAAATTCAATGTCATACCTATTACCTATAATTCTATTTCTGCTATACAAACATGATGTAAGGATGCTGTTCACAGTAACAAAATTGGAAACAACATAAATGTTCACTAATAGGATACAGATGGGACAAATATGCAGCCAACAGAATGGTGTACATCCCTATCTACTGACATGGAAAGATACTGATATTGTTTTTTAAGACGACAAAAACAGCATGTGTGACTCAGTTTTTGTAGTAAACTCATACACAGAAAATACATCCAGAAGGAGATAAACATGCAGACAGTGGCTCCTACTGTAGAACAGGGCTCCACGTTCCCTTCCCTTTTCTTCTTTCTACACCTACGCAGCATGTGAAAGGCTGGCTTCAGTTTAGAAAAGGAAATTTCCGTGATAGATGGTTCCTAGAGAAGTGTCAGTTGACACATACACACCAGCCCTGCCTTCCACAGCAAAGGTATAAAACCACCTACCTAACAGAATTCCTGTGAGAATATGATGTAGTTGGACCACAGAGCGGGAACCCAGCGTCAACACATCAGTGTCGCCGTAGCTTCTAAATTGCCAAGTACAGCCAGATGTTGATCTGAATTCTCCTAACAGTTAAATCTGAACTTATTTAACTGGTTTTAAAATACTACAAGTTACCAAAGACCTACAGGTGGAAAATAAGTATGTGAAAAAAATCCTCACTATTGTATGATTTCATTTCTTGGACAAAGGCAAAACTATAAGGTATGGAGATTGTAGATCAGTGGTTGCTGGGGGGTTGAGGGTTCGATAACAAAGGTAGGCAGCATGAAGGGATTTTTCTGAGGGGTGATGGAAATGTTCTGTGTCTTCTTCATTGTGCGCATGGTTATATACCTTTATTTGTCAAACCTGATGGACAGGATTGGGGGGAAAGATGGGTGAGCTAACTGCATCCTCTGGACCGTCACTTTGTGACTCCCCTTTATTACACTCAGAACCCATTCATCACACATGAACCAGTGGTGGGAATGATGAACTAGAGCAGTTCATTCACTGATAGGTTTCTTATCAATCCACACAAGGTCATCAGCACAGTATTTTTCATTAAAGTGGGATCTTAACTTTGTAAATCATCTCATTAGTACACTTGCACTACCTAAGGATACAAGTTCATCTCACTTCTTATGTGTATTTAGAAACGAATCGTGTAAAGCTAATTATAATTAACACATTTTTGGTCTGTTTTCCTAATCTTTCCTTGAGGCAAAGTTTTCTGTGTTCTGTTATGTAGGCTGTTGGCTTTCACCTGTAATCTCTAATAAACTATTCTTCTGGAATTCCCACAGTCTCTCCTGGCATCAGAGGAGCTGCCCCTTGTCTATGAACAATCTGCATGGAATTCGGAAGAGTTAGGCCCCTTTCTCCGCCTCTGCCTCCTGGATCAGAGCTTCCCAGCATTTGTGGAACAGGTGGAAAAGGAACTAAAAAAGCTGACAGGGTTCAGAAATTAACACTCTATGTACATAGAGAACTAAGGAACTTGAAAGCATTGAAAAATGCCTCCTCCTTAAGATTAAAGATACTAAAATAAAGAATATTATTCCAAACACCTTTTATTAATGTTTTATTTTTAGAAACAGGTGAATCCACTTTTTTATACATCATTGCACATCAACAATTACACAAAACACAAGTACATGCATCTACAGTTACATACTGAGAACCCTGACAGGTGAGAAAACCATTAAATCAATGTGAAAAAATACAGTGTCAACCCCAAAGTATAACTAGTTGCATAGAATACCATGCTAGAACATTTCAAGGTCATTGGAAACTAAAGGTAAATTATAAAAGTTTGCCTTAATTGAATGTATAAGGTTTAGCACATCAGTGCAAAAGGATATAAGAATTTATCAACAAAGAATCACTTAAAAAGCAATCATACATATATATATATTTGTGTGTGTATATATATATATATATATATACTGCAATTCATTATAGCCATTCAGTGGACTATTCCAGCTTATGAGAGTCATAGGTTAAGCCCTTAAAATTATAGATATCAGTTTATATTACTCATCTTTTTGTACCAGAACTGCACAATTTCCTCACCTGACAACATACAATATGGAATGAATATCAGCAGCTTAAAAATGAAACAAGCATTTATTTTGGATTTCTCCCCCCCCAAAAAATATAAATATATATATATATATTTATATACTGTATATATCTGTAGGTTTTGCTGTACGTTACAAAATTGTATCACTAGATGGCAGTAGTGCATTTTAGAGCTTTGCCAATTTAACAGCTGCAGTAAGTAAAAAATGGCGCATGCATGATCTGATCCTCAGAGGACCTTTTCACTTCTATTTAAATATTTTAATAGAGGAGAAGGAAGCAACATTCACAGCACATCAAGCCCAAAATAGTTTACACCTTCTACACTGAAGCATTGTTTGAAATGTACCTGCTAGGTCAACCCTTACAGGAAAGGCTAAATAAGGCATGCTTTAGACAGTCGTCGTGGTGTTGCTCACTTAAAGGGGAGAGAACCAAGGAGGTCCAAGCAGAAAATTTAGAAGATTGTGTTGCCACCAGTTTCAGGAACCTAAAGACCTGTAAAGAAATAGTATTTGAAAATTAAAAGAGTATGCAGTCACGTTAAGAACCAAGTGCCACATAAAGCAAAGCTTTGTTTCAAACAGCATGCTCAGGGATGCGGTGTGAAATTCTGATCTCCATGTGCCTAACTGGAAGGGAAGGCCCTGGGGCCGGGCCGTGCTGGCTCTCCTGGCTACAGGTCTTGCCTTGCCCTGCCTTGCCCTCAGAAGCAGAGGGGACTAAACGGCCTCTGGGAATATTCCGCCTAAGAAGGTAAAAAGTTAATCTTTACCTCTTTTTAAACAGTAGCATAAAGTGTTATTTTAAAACATTATACATAGTCTGAAATGGCATTTATATAAACAAGTGAAACAATGCAGCTGAAAAATGGTCCTTTCCAGCCTCTACATAACTGGTTCCATCAGTAGGGAGCTGCTCTGAAATGAACGAAAACATCTTGCAACATAACACAAAATCAAGTTTTGTAACAAGGTCAACAGAGCCATGTTCATTTCCAATATAATTTTTAAAACTTCTAAAAAATGCCATACTTACATTATAAGTAGTACTTAATTTGTGTTTCTCTGGCGCAAGTTTTTATCTTTGTGATTGTTGGTAGAGTTGGTTTTCCTTTGGAGGAAAAATTATATTACAAGAGTTAAACTCAAAGTCAGTAGCAACTTTTGAAAGTATTTAACACATGGAAATACAGGGATTCTTTCACTTACTGCCATCCCTGGTGTAGTAAGAAAGTTTACTGCACGATATTAGTACATAAAAATATCCCCTGGGTAACATGCCTACATACCTTCATCCTTTTGACTCCCAAGACAGACAATATACAGTTAACTTTCCCTTTAATTTATAAACTATAATCTAATTACTATAATGGTTATAGTATTTTTTTCTCTACTGAGTGCCAGTCTGTTTTCTCAAATAATAAATGATACTCAATTATACAGAGGCAGTGCTGTGCCCTCTGGCACTTAGTAACTTTGGGTACTATTTGGTCCCCAACTCTAGGAGATTCTAATCCTGGATTGATCCAAATCTGTAGTTCCATCTCCTGGATACATAGGACTGTTAATGGAACCAAAGAATATATTTATGCTATAATCCAGCTTGAAATTAACTTTAACCAAACCTGAACTCTCAAGATATACTGGTCATTTCCCTCACATTATCAATGTAAGCATATGGGATGTGCAGAATTTTAAACACTTGCATGCTATTGCACTTTAAAGATGTCTTTAAATTTGTTTATTTTTAGAGAGAAGGGAAGGAAGGGAGCAAGAGAGGGAGGGAAGCACTGATGTGCAAGAGAGAAATTGATCGGTTGCCCCCAGCCAGGAACCTGACCCAGGCACGTGCCCTGATCAGGAATCAAACCACTTTGATTTGTGGGATGACACTCAACCTACTTAGCCACACACCAGTCAGGGCAGTATTACACTTTACACATTGCTACTAAAACAAAACTGTAAGCCTGTCCTGGGAATCAAATGGCCATGTTAGGCTGCAAAGTCTGCACTGCAACATTCATTCCCACTCACTGTCTTCCCTACAATCTTAGGTTTGATTTCAGGAAACCATGAATGTAAAATAATTCAATCAATGTCCAGTAAAGTACTTACATTGGCCCAGCTGGTTCATCGTCTACACAGGTGATCAGTTTTTGAATAATCCATTGAGAGACAGGAGAAGAAAGGAGAAAATTGTGAGACTTTGCACAGGGATTAATAGAGCTGCAAATGGCAAGTGGCAAACATGGCTATCACAGCATTTATTCAAGGCCATTCCATCTGGAGGTGCAAAACACTCATGGAGTTATTATTTCTAGATTCAAGTTTTTAATGGCAGGTATGTTGTTTCAATGGTTTTAGTTAACACTTTGAATGCTTGTCATGAAAAACTGCAACTGTAGCGGACAGATAGGCTGCAACATCATCATGTTCATCTTGTCCCCAAGTTCCAGTGGTTCACTCTTAAATAGATGAGAAGACAAACCAACATTTCAGTTGTAAAATCCTGCTGTTTGTTTTCTGTGGTGAATGAACGTACAATTTTAGCTCAATCCTGCAATGAAGATGGATGTGCATGTTCTACACATTTAGCCACACATCCTCACTTCCCCAAAAGACATGTTCTTGCTGTTTTGAATCTTTAGTCTGAAGAATGAGACTAAGGAAGAGGAAGCCACAACCGTTCACCAGAATACTGGGTCACCCAGGTTAGGCTTTGCCAGCAACAAGAGGATGTTTTGTGGCACAGCAAGGAAAGCTGAGCAGTGGTGACAGCCCTCCAGAAAAAGACTTCCAATACAGACAGGCCAAAACCAGTACTCAAACCCAGATGAGGTGGATATCTTTTTTTTTTTTTTTTAAATAAAAAAGCTTCCATTATCTGAGTTTAGAAGCCCTCTTAAATTGGTATTTTATGATTCTGATTTATAAGTTTTTCCTTCCTGTTTCAACTAAGGGCAACTTGGTCCCACTTAAGCAGGGACATATATACATACATAGAATTTTCTTTAAAGGACCACAAAGGGGAAGGAAACAAGTAAGTATTCTTAGGTTCTTTTTATTTTACAAAAGTCAGGTAGACTAAATGATTCAGACTGGTTTGGTTTCACTGAAGGCTTCTAGAAAAACTCTCAGCAGGATTCCACAAGGGGGCTTGGTGCACATGAAGCAATTATGGAGGTTACAGTCTCAGTGCAGGCGTCCGCAGGAGCACACGTCAGGAGGAATGTCTGTCCGAGGAGACATTGCTCCACCTGTTCCTTTGAGGCAACGGAGAGGCAAAGCCACTGCCAGCACACACGGTGACTGGAGCAAAAAGGATTAAAAAAAAAAAAAAAAACAAAAAAACAACTAACCACAAACCAGCAACTTGTCAGCCAAAACAACAGGCTAGTGACACACCAGTGTCCACAGGGTTCTACTAACAGTACTATCAAACAGATACAGAGAACAAACTAAGACTTAGGGACACCAAGACATCTTGTGGTGCTGTGTGTGCAGTGGAGATATACAAAGACATGTCAGGTATTGAGACACAAGCCCAGCCTAAATCCTCCCTCACCACAACACTCGAATGTTCTCAGCATCCAGCCAAGCCAGCTCAGCTACATGCTAGGAACTAAGCACCTGGGGACTTAAAGGAAAAGACACAGGCGCAAACTCAGAATATTTTGAGTGCTCTGGCTTTGCACCCAAAAATACAAAATTCTAAAGCAAGACAGCTAATTCAAGAATATCATCAATCTATCCCAACTTTTAAAAGAAAAAGCAGGGTAGGGGGAATCGCAATAGCCAGGCTAATTCTTTTCAAAGCATGATGCTGTCTGCACCAACTCCCACCCACCCCACCACCAGCTTCCCTTTCTTGTACGGGTGTGCCCCGGTGTCTGACGTGCAAAAAGGCTGCAGTAGGGGTTGCAGCAACAGTGGCTCTGGTGTAGCTGCCATGCCTGCAAATGGGAGCAGCTGTTATTCACACTAGTGTCTAAATCTCATGAGCCCCATCATCTCTGTCCCCAAATCCACTTTCACATTTACAGGAGCAAAGAAAACAGCCTCAGGTCCCCTACATTCCTGGACTGAATCACTATCAGCAACACCACTTTCCCTTACAGGTAAGACAAAAAAAAAACAACTTGACCCCTCACAGGGAAATCAAGAGAGAGGGACAGAACAAAACTACAGAAAAAGATACAAAAATCAAAGTAAATGAGGATTAAACAGAAAACTGAAATCCAAATTAGTTGTGAAAGTGAATGAAGTAGACTTGAAGAAAAGTGTTAACATTATGAACTGTGCACCGTATAGACTGAAGCGGAGATTAAACAAACTCCAAAAGCATGCATATCGCTCACTTACCACCATGTTTTAAGGGTTTGATG